ACGACACAGTCGGTCAAGAACCGGTTCTCCCCGCAACTCCTCTTGCTTGGTTCCCTAGCGCAAAACCAGTGCGTTGACCTTTGTTTTCGCTTGGCTGCAAGGCCGTCTCAGCTGCAGGCTATCCCGGGAATGCGTCAACGATCTCCCAGAGGTGTTCGCGAACCTTCGGAGAATCCCAACGCTGGGGCCGGTCATAACACGACGCAAGAAAACAACCTCCAGTGCCGATTTCAAAATGTGATGATGGACACGAGACTACGTGCGGAAATGGTAACGTCGCTTCTGATTTGTCGGTAATTATAGACGGTTACGAAACGAATGCTTTGGTAGACACAGGCGCAGACTATTCCGTCATGAGAAGGGGACTTGCCAGAACGCTGAAAAAAGTGCTGACCCCTTGGATAGGGCCACAAGTGCGAACCGCCGGGGGACACATTATCGATCCGGCAGGCATGTGTACCTCTAGAGTCGGAATACGCGGCTTCACCTACGTCGCCAGCTTCATTGTCCTGTCGGAGTGTTCAAGAGATGTAATTATTGGAATGGACTTTTTTCAGGCCAATGGCGCAGTGATAAACTTGCAGGAAACGCGCGTCTCGTTCTCGACGAAACACGCCATCGCGACATTCGAGAGTGAAAAACGATTCAATGCGCTCCAGATTGCAGGTGATGATGTAACATTACCTGCAAGGTCCATCATCGTTGTCACCGTAAAAAGCAATGTGCACAACGACTATGAAGGAATGGCAGAAAGCAATACTGGGCTAATGCTCGAGAAAGGAATCTGTGCAGCAAGAAGTATTGTACGACTGCGTGATGGGATTACGAGTGTCTTCCTGACAAATTTCCGAAATGAGATGCAGCACCTTGCGAAGGGAACTGTTGTTGGTCACTTGCACAACTACGTTCCGATTACGGATTTGAATTCTTCCGAGACTGCACCACTGCACCCTGACGGTATAGATTCCATACTCGCATCTATCCACACCGAAGCAGCCCTATCACCGAACCAGAAACAAAAAATCGAGAGCCTTATACGGGAGTACGCCTCATGTTTTTCCACGTCATCGAAAGTGCAAAGAACATCTATAATCAAACACCACATCATAATCGATAAATCTGTTAGACCTATTTGCCAGCACCCGTACCGAGTGTCACCAAAAGAGAGAGAAGTCATCAGAGGCCAAGTTGAAGAAATGCTCAGGGACGACGTAATTCAACCGTCGGCCAGCCCATGGGCCTCACCTGTAGTACTGGTAAAAAAAAAGGACCAGACCTTGCGCTTCTGCGTTGACTACTGAAAATTGAACATCGTCACAAAGCGGGATGTCTATCCACTTCCAAGGATCAATGACACCCTTGACAGACTACGAGACGCGAAATTCTTCTCCTCTCTAGACCTCAAGAGCGGATACTGGCAGATAGAGGTGGACGAACGAGATCGCAATAAAACTGCTTTCGTGACCCCAGATGGTTTATACGAGTTCAAGGTACTCCCATTTGGCCTGTGTTCCGCACCCGCCACATTTTAGCGGATGATGGATACTGTGCTGTCCGGGTTAAAATGGCAGTCCTGCCTTGTTTATCTCGATGACGTCGTGATCTTTTCGGCCACCTTCGATCAGCATGTGGAACGACTACAGACTGTGCTCGAAGCGATTAGTTCAGCAGGGCTGACGATAAAACCCCAAAAGTGCCATTTTGGTTTTCATGAACTGCTTTTCCTCGGTCATGTGGTTAGCTCTGAAGGCATTCGACCTGACCCCGAAAAGACAGCAGCTGTGGAAAAGTTTCCTAGACCGACTGATAAAAGGGTTGTGAGACGATTCTGAGGAATTGTGCCTATTACAGAAGATTCATCAAAGATTTTTCGAAGATTGCGGAGCCACTAACCCGACTGACGAAAGAAGACACGCCTTTCACCTGGACAAGCGAGCAAGAAGAGGCGTTCAATGAGCTACGACAGCGACTCCTACACCACCCCGTCCTGGCACATTTCCACGAAGAAGCCGAAACAGAGATTCACACGGACGCAAGCAATTTGGGACTAGGCGTCGTCCTTGTGCAGCTGCAAAACGGAGAGGAAAGAGTGGTCGTATATGCTAGTCGCACTCTTTCGAGAGCTGAAATAAATTATTCGGCGAAGGAAAAACAATGTCTGGCGGTAATATGGGCCATACAGAAATTCCGACCATACTTATATGGTAGACCATTTCGAGCAGTGAGCGACCATCACTCGTTGTGCTGGCTCGCAGGCCTAAAAGACCCTTCTGGGCGACTTGCTAGATGGAGCCTCAGGTTGCAAGAATACGACATAACAGTCGTATACAAGTCGGGTCGCAAGCACAGCGATGCTGATTGCCTGTCACGCGTACCAATGGAATCTGCACCTGTGGAAGATGGAGACGACTTTCCGTTTCTTGGGGCCGTCAGCACCACAGACATGACTGAATATCAGCGATCTGACGCGGAGTTGCTTAAACTGATCAAGCATCTGGAAGGGCAACCCGTCCGTGTTCCTCGAGTTTCCGCCCGGGGATTGTCTTCGTACCTCATGAGAAATAACGTTTTATACAAGAGAAACTTCGAGCACAGCAAGGAGAAATTCCTACTCGTCGATCCTTCGGCCTTGCAACCCGAAATCCTGGAAGCCTGCCACGATGACCCAGCAGCAGGACACCTCGGAGTGAGTAGAACATTGGCTCGCATCCGCACCAAGTACTACTGGTCAAAGTTACTGGATGTTGTACAGCATTATGTAAGGACATGTAGAGATTGCCAGAGACGCAAAACGCCTCCATTGAAACATGCAGGATTTCTCCAACCAATCGAACCACCTGAGTCTCCGTTTGAACAAGTAGGAATGGATCTACTTGGTTCATTTCCTACGTCATCAATGGGCAACCGATGGATAGTAGTGGCGACAGACTACTTAACCCAGTATGCCGAGACAGCCTCTCTCACCAGGGGCACGGCTATAGAAGTAGCTGAATTTTTCGTCACTAACATTGTACTACGGCATGGTGCCCCAAAGGTGGTTATCACGGATCGAGGAACTGCATTCACAGCCAATCTGACGCAGTGCATTATGAAACTTACCCACACACACACAAGTCATACGAAAACAACGGCTTACCACCCCCAAACGAATGGGCTAACCAAGCGACTCAACAGAACTCTAACCGATATGTTGTCCATTTACGTTGACTTGGAGCATCGTACGTGGGACAAGATACTACCGTACGCCATTTTCGCTTACAATACTGCTGTGCAGGAGGCTACTAAAGTGACGCCATTCCAGCTAGTCTATTGTCGAGTAGTTACCACACTATTAGATGCAATGCTTCCTGTAGGCGACAATACAGAGCACAAGCCTGACATCAGCGAATTCATTCAGCGAGCCGAAGAAGCACGGCAGTTGGCGTGACATTACATAAAACAACAACAACGCGTAGATGCAAACCGTTACAACCTTCGTCGGAGAGGAGTCGACTACGCACCAGGCGACCTAGTTTGGATTTGGACTCCCGTGTGGACGCCTGGCCTTTCCGAAAAGCTCATGCGCCGCTATTTCGGCCCTTACCGAGTCCTTCGTCGCGTCAGCTCCTTGAACAATGAGGCGTCACTGGAAGGACAAGTGAGCTCATCAAGATGCCGAAGAAGCACAGAAATCGTGCATGTAGTCAGAATGAAGCCATACTATGACAGGCAATGAACATCGAAATATACGCACCCGATTATGAGGAATACCTATTTCTCCAATGGAAACCACGCATTCAGACCGTCTCAGCAACACTGCTTTTACGCATCGGGACGATGCGTTTTTGGCGGAGGGATAATGACGCAAGGCAAACGCAGTATTCAAACTACGCGCGCTAGTTCGTGCGCCCCCCAAGAGATCAGCGGCTTGATGATCAAACAAGAAAAGACCGTGACGGTGCGCGTCTCCTCAGCACGGGATTTTGAAAAAAAAAAAAAGAAGTGGTGCACCACTCGAGGGTTTTCTCGGAGACTGATTCCTTTTTGCTGATCGCCTGTTAGAGACGCCGCTACATTTTCCTTCACTTTTCGGGCACAAGTTCGCCCCAATAAACAGTTATTCGTACACCATTTGAATTGTATGTAACAATATATATATATATATATATATATATATATATATATATATATATATATAAGGGAAACAAATGTATACTTAAGGGCTCGTTTTTCGTGTTTTACACAATAATAATGAGATCTAACAGACAATAATGCCAAGGCAGGTATAGGGAAGTTATTAAGCCAATTGTAATGTAAATAAGAAGAAAGAAAAGTGGGTGAAAAGACAACTTGCCGTGGGCAGGATCCGAACCTGCGAGCTTCGAATAACGCGTTCGATGCTCTACCACTGAGCTACCACGACAGCTATCCCCCCAGCCACTTAATTGGGTGTCTATGTGATTGAAACGTGGGAGTGTCAGTCAGCGCCACTAGTAGCCACGGCGGCGAGTGTGGTACACGCTTTATGAACCCGTTTGGCGTCACGTAGCACGTGAACTCATTACTAACTGGCAGCTGACCAATAGTCCCCCGTATACAACCTAGAGGCACCAAGTCTGCCAGTACGAGACCCTCGTTAATGAATAAGGGAAACGAGTGTATACTTAAGGGCTCGTTTTTCGTATATATATATATATATATATATATATATATATATATATATATATATATATATATATATATATATATATATATATATATATAGAAAGACAGAAAGAAACTTGACGACTGCGAAAAAGTGACAAGCTGTTGATTGCTGCTGCAAGCCAGCAGCCATGTGCACGTGAATCTGCATGCCGGAGCCACTCGCCCCGCCTCGAACGATTAAAATGAGAGCATATACTTCGGAAGAAGAAGTAGTTAGACGTTAGCCGCAGTTGCAAAGCCCGCTTCGTTCACGTTACGTTATTGAAGACGTTCATCACAAGTCGAGCGGGTGTCCGTGACAAATTTGGGCCCACCTTGCCATTCCTGATATCATCAAGGCGTTCGTTGAGCGCTCGGTGGCTCTGCCGCGGATCGTGACGGTCTATGAAAATGCAGCCGGCAAGGTAGCACACCAACGCCAGTGGGCCCGTGTAGACGAGCTCGCGCTTCATCACGGCCAAGCACGGGTGGAATTCCTGCCAAACGTGCATTAGACCTGCATTTCAGCACGGACCGTTTCAGCTGTAGCAGAGTGCGTCCTCGAGGATAACTGCAAGGAGGTTACGCGTATAGTTGGAATAACTGCCAACGACGTCTATGCTATGAAATGCAGCCAAGCTGCATTGTTGGAGCTAGGTGAAGAAACCACGTGCGCTTATTCTAGCTCTCTCGAGTGCCATGGTTTCCCGGGCATAGTTGGCAAGTCGCACGTGTTTTGGTGCACCTTGGTAGGAATTCATATTAAAAGTACTTCACATCTCTTTCGCCGACTTGCAATGTCGCTGACCTGTAAAGGGAAAGCTTCTGTTGACGCAAATGAAGATTTGTGTGGCTGCCTAAATGTCTACGACTTAAAGTGGCACATAGTGACGGGGATTAATTCATTCTAATAACGTGCACGAGAAAAAAATAATGCTTGTACCATCCCTAGAAAACCAACTGCTGGCAGCCCCGCAATGCATTGATAACTATATTTTAAAAAATGTATTTAATTTTATGGGCTGCAGGCCACTGAACCGAATACTGGCTGTGGTAGCTGCATTTTCAATGGAGGTGAAAATGCTCGCACTCTGCGTACTTTGATTTACTTTGATAATTATACCTTGGTTTTGGGACACTAAATCTCCACAATTCGTATTTTTTTCTTCTGGACTCATGCGCGAACAACGTTAATAAACATGAAAAGGGTGAGAGGAGGTGAGGGCCTGCGTAGTATACTATAATTAAAATGATGCCATATACGGTGTGTATTTTGCACCCGCAAAATTAGTTGGCACTTCAGCACCAAAAGTAATAACCTACAGAGGATTAAAATAAGTTTCCTATAGTGATTGGGGAGTGGGTCCCATCACACACGAATCGCGCCGCCGTGGTGATCCAGTGGATAAGGTACTCGGCTGCTGACCCCCTGGCCGCGGGATTGAATCCCGGCTGCGGAGGCTGCATTTTCGAGAGGAGAAAATGCTGTAGGCCCGCGTGTGCTTGGATTTAGGTGCAGGTTCGCGATTCCCGGAGCCCTCCACAAAGGCATCTCTCATAATCATATAGTGGTTTTGGGACGTTAAACTCTAAATATAAATCAATCATCACACACAAATTCAACAAAAGAAAAAGTCAAAATTTCCGCATGTATGGCGCAAGCGTAAATCACCACTGGCGCGTTATCATCTTTTGTTTTTTTTTTCGAACTGGAAGGTCATGAGACGAGCTCCTCGTTTTTGCCCTGCACTCATAATAGCACGTACCATGACAATGACAATACCACAGCAGTGACTCGATTGTCGAATTTCTTGCTGTAAAGGGTGCGTAATCCACACTGCGAGTGTGTAATAGCGATTCCCTCACATAAATAAGCGGGCATGTTCTCTCTCTTACCGTACACGTCCAAGCTGGACTGGTGATTGACCAGTCCAGCCTGGACGCGATTCTCTCACATAGCAATTCCCTCACACAAATAAGCAGGCATGTTCTCTCTCTTACCGAACACGTCCAGGCTGGACTGGTGATTGATCAGTCGAGCCTGGACGCGATTCCCTCACATGGCAATTCCCTCACACAAATAAGCGGGCATGTTCTCTCTCTTACCGTACACGTCCAAGCTGGACTGGTGATTGACCAGTCGAGCCTGGACGCGATTCCGTCACATAGCAATTCCCTCACACAAATAAGCGGGCACGTTCTCTCTCTTACCGTACACGTCCAAGCTGGACTGGTGATTGACGACCATTATGAATCTCCTGTCCTTGGGTATGCGCTCTTCGTGGAGCAGCACTGCTTCCACGCCTATGGTCCACCGGAGATGCTTGAGGCCAAAGCTGATGAAGCTGCAGGTCAGAGTGGACCATGAATATTTACCAGGAGTATGACACGCGTGCAGGGGTACTGCAATGAACGTCAAGCTTCGCTCGCTAATTAATGACCACCTTTTAAGGACACTATGTGAGTGAGCGGGAAAAGCTTTAAAATATATTTTTTTGTGTAGAAGCTCTACCCACCGCGTAATTTGCACTGTCATCGGGCCACTTAGCATTGTTTCTGCACATGCATATATGTTATACTGCTCGATCGTTTTTAAAGGGGCCCTGATGCGCTTTTATAACTAACCATCGAGCAACCTCAGTATCAGAGTATGTTGCTTCACGAATATCAGCGTAATTTTTTTTTCGAATCTCTCATGGACGGGTGGAGTTACAGGGAGTTGTTGCACTGTTGAAGAACATCTTTTCTTCTCTCGTCCCAAAGAACGTGCTGAAAGCTACAGAAGGTAGAGGGTTGAACCTACATAAGAGGTTGGGGACAAAGGGGGTGGGCGGAAGTTACACAGAGGTTGGGGAAGCTACAAAGGCAGGAAAAAAGCTACTGAGCTCAAGACATGAAACCCCATCGCTCCTTCCTTTTGTGGCAGAGAACGCCTACAGAAGTGGTTCTTGTGCGCGCTATAGTGTGGATCATCATCATCATCATCATCATCATCATGACTAAGTCCACTGCAGAACAAAGGCCTCTCCCATGTTCCGCCAATCAAATCGGTCCTGTGCTTGCTGCTGCCACTTTATACCCGCAAACTTCCTAATCTCATCTGCCCACCTAATTTTCTGTCTCCCCCTAACCCGCTCGCATTCTCTGGGAATCCAGTCAATTATCCTTAATGACCAGGGGTTATCCTGCCTATGCGCTACATGACCAGCCCATGTCCATTTCCTCTTCTTGATTTCAACTATGATATCCTCAACCCCAGTTTGTTCTGTGAGTCCACTTTGCTCTCTTCTTGTCTTTTAAGTCTACGCCTATCATTTTCCTTTCCATCACTCACTGTGTCGTCCTCAATTTAGGCTGAACCCCCTCTGTAAGTCTCCATGTTTCTGCTCCATAGCTAAGTACCGGCAAGATGCAGCTGTTATATACCTTTCTCTTGGGGGGTAGTGGCAATCTACCAGTCATGATTTGAGAGTGCTTGCCAAATGTGATACACCTCATTCTTATCCTTCTAGTTACTTCAATCTCGCGGTTCGGCTCCGCAGTTATTACCTGTCCTAAGTAGACGTAGTCTTTTACAACTTCAAGTGGACTATTATTCATCTCGAAGCGCTGTTCTTTTCCAAGGTTGTTGCACATTACTTGCGTTTTCTGCAGATTAATTTTAAGACCTGCCTTTCTTCTCTCCTTGTCTAATTACGTAATCATGAGTTGAAATTCGTCCCCTGAGTTACTCAGCAATGCAATGTCTTCGGCAAAGCGCAGGTTACTAAGGTACTCTCCATTGACTCTTATTTGTAACTATTCTCCCTCTAGGCCTCTGAAAATCTCCTGTAAGCACGTGGTAATGCTTCGTCGACGCCCTGATTCCGCAGTGCCTGCATGACTGATATTTCTACTGAATGAAACGCCTTCTCGTAATCTATGAAGGCTATACATAGTGTTTGGTTGTATTCTGATCATTTTTCTATTACCTGATTGATATTATGATGTGCTCAATTGTTGAGTAGCCTGTTCAAAATACTGCTTGTTCCTTTGGTTGATTGAATTGTAATGTTGTCTTAATTCTGTTAGGGATTACCTTTGTAAATAGCTTGTATACGACGAATAGCAAGCTGGTCGGCCTGTAATACGTCAAGCTTTTGTCATCTCCTTTCTTATGTATTAATATTATGTTAGCATTCTTTCAAGATTCTGGTACTCTTCCCATCAGGAGACACTTCGTAAACAGGGTGGCTAATTTTCTTGCGCAATCTGTCCTCCGTCTTTTAGAAATCGGATGTTACCTTGTCCTCGCCAGCAGCTTTGCCTCTTTACATTCCCTCCAAGGTTTTTCTGACTTCTTCTGTTATTATTGGTGGGATGACATCTTTGATACTGATAGATCTTATATTAAGATCGTGGCTCTGCCGACTACTGTACAGCTCTCTGTAAAACTCCTCCGCTATTTTAAATATCCTATTTATATTGGTAGTTACTTTGCCTTCCTTGTCCCAGAGTGCACCTATATGACTTCTGCCTATCCCAAGTTTCCTCTTTACTGCTTTGATGCTTCCTCTGTTTTTTAGAGCTTGTTCAATTTTCTCCATGTTATACCTTCTTACATCGGATACCTTATGCGTAATAATTAACTTCGTAAGTTCTGCCAATTCTATTTTGTCTATTGCATTTGAGGCTTTCATGCTTTCACACTTCTTAATGAGGTTCTTCGTCCCCTGGGGCAGCTTACCTGTGTCCTGTCTAAGTACCATACATCCAGCTTCCACTGCACACTCCGTAATGATACTCGTCAGATTATCATTCATTGCGTCAACGCTAAGGTTGGTTTCCTCGATAAGAGCCGAGTACCTATTCTGAAGCGAGACTCTGAATTCTTGTATTATTCTTCTCAGCGCGAGCTCATTGATTGGCTTCTTGCGTATCAGTTTCTGTCATTCCTTCTTCAAGTCTAGGTGAATTCGAAACCTTATCATTCTATGGTCACTGCATCGTACCTTGCCAACCACTTCCACATCCTGCACGATGCCTGGGTGTGCACTCATTATGAAGTCTATTTCGTTCTTATTTTCGCCATTAGGGCTCCTCTATCTCCACTTGCGGTTTCCTCGTTTTTAGTAGAAAGTATTGAAGATCCGTAATTTATTCCGTTTTGCGAATTTCACTAATAGCTCCCCTCTGGCATTTCTAGTACCGATGTCATAATATCCTAGTGCCTGGTCTCTAGCTTGCTTCTTCCCTACCTTGGCATTGAAGTTACCCATCAGTATAGTATACTGTGTTTTCACCTTATTCATTGCCAATTTCACGTCTTTTTAGAAGCTTTCAACTGACGCATCATGACTGAATGTAGGCGCATAAGCCTGTGCCACCTTCGTCTTGTATCTCTTATTGAGTTTAATTACGATACCTACCTGCCTTTAGTTTATGCTATAGTATTCCTCTATGTGACCAGCTATATTTGTGTGGATAAGGAACCCCACGCCCAGTTCTCTTCTGTCAGCCAGCCCACGATAGCAAAGGACGTGCCTATTCTGTAGCACTGTATAGACCTCATCTGTGCTCCTAACCTCATTGAGCCCTATTAAGTCCCATTTAACACCCTCTATAGCTCCTCGAACAGTACAGCTAGACTTGAATCACTAGATAAGGTTCTAGCGTTAAACGTTGCCAAGTTCAGATTTCAATGGCGGCCTGTCCTGACCCAGAGATTCTTAGCACCCTCTGCTACGTTGCAGATCTGACCTCCGCCGTGGTCAGTAGCTTCCCAGCCGCTGGGGACTGAGGGCAGTGAGGTAATTGACGTATGCATGTGGGAGGTAGTGGCCAGATGCTGCACCTGCTGGGTGACCAATCCTTGTCTGGTGAGGGAGTTCGTTACCGGTGGTGGTCACCGGTGAGGCCGCACCCCAGGCCTCTTAATGCGCAGTTCCATCACAACGCGGATTTTTAAGGGGCGAAGCTCCTTATAGCGATACCCGTTTGTCCCTCGTAGTTGTTGTAGAGTGTAACAAGTATAACATTTTGACCTCCAAGGTGGTGCCGGTGAGAGATTTCTTTTGTGCGTTGTTGAACAATAAAAGATTGTGCTCCATGTACATGCCAATGGCTGCTAAAGGGGAATGAGAGGCAAGATCATTTGGCTTTCAGTTAACGCGCACGCTGCGATCCCCATTAGCAGCCATTAGCATGTATATTGAGCACTATCTGACAAGAAAGGGTTGCTACGTTATACTCTCTGGGTGTAACCTTCTTAGTTTTAGAAAGGTTTAGCGAGCGTTGAGCCGCAGTGCCATGAATACAATGAACTAGTATATACCATGAACTCGAGGTGGTTAAAGGTGGGAAGTAGATACGAAGAGCAAGCCGTAAGAAAGTAAAAGCCGAATTCTTCTGTCTCTCATTTCCCATTTGCAGCCATTGGCATGTACAATGAGCGCTATCTGACAGGGCAAGGCTGCTACGTTATACTCGCTGGGCGTAACCTCCTTGGTTTTAGAAAGGTTTAGCGAGCGTCGGGCCGCAGTGCCATGAATACCGTGAACTAGTATATACCATGAACTCGAGATGGTTAAAGTTGAGAAGTAGATACGAAGCGCAAGCCGTAAAAAAGTGTGCGTGTGCCACCTCTCGTTTAGACCTTGGAAAATCCGCTGCATGGCGGTGCTTCTGTATGCGGAATATATGATGAAAAGATGCGAGATGGTGGTACTTGGAGTGTTGAATAGATGAACGAACGGACACACAGACAGATGCATGGATGAACGCATGAACGGACGCGGGGGTTGATGCCTGGACGAACGCAGGGACGGACGCACGAACAGACGCACGCACGGACGGGCGGATGGACGCATGGACGGTCACACAGACAGATGCATGGACAGACGGAAGCAAGAACGAATGGACGGACGAGTGCTTCGCCCCACTCTCCATCATTCACTCCGTAGATATGCTGCCATTTTTTTATTCGGTTGGGAACTGCGTGGCACCGGGATCTCTTGCACGCGAGGTTAGAGCATCCGCCTCGCGGACCTCTTGCACGCGAGGCGGATGCTCTAAACCACTACTCCATCGCTGCTACTATAGTGTGGGTACTGTGCAATATTTTAGTATAAACTATAGAGCGTAGCGCCGGAACTTGGCGACACCCCGCGGCAAGGAACACATCCGGATCAAATGCCGTTCCAGATTTGTGTCAGCTATCAGCCAATAGCAGCAATCTGACATTTGACATCATACAGCAGGCGCCCAGCCTACTGAGGTGCGTAAGAACGGAGCCTTTGTATCTACGTGCCGGACAAGACTGCAAAATTTGCCTGAACTCTTCACAGCAGAGCTTGATGTTTCTTAAAACGTGCTGGTCTAGCAAGCCCGAGGGCTCCCCTGCAACACTTTTTAATTCAGCATGGTCAGATAACGCTGCCGATCGGTAGTCAAGGCTCCTGAGAACACGCGAGAGCCTAACATAAGCAGTACGTAGTCTGGAAATTGCAATTAATTCTCACAGTTAGTTAGAAATACTTCTCTTTTTATATACACAAAAGATGCCACAAACCCAAAGTACACGGTCATTGGCTCAATTGAGCATCGTGAGCTGCATATATTTATACCACTGCCCACGCACTCATTCGCAATCAAACTAAAAGAAGGCTGCGTGATCAAAGAAGAAAAAAAAACGCTCAAGTTCGCACTGACGAATGGACGTGTCTTCTTGCCTTTTCGCCTCCCTCCGTGCGTACCTTTCAGCGTGCTTACACGTAAACGAAATGAGAGAGAAAGCGCTTAAACCGTGTGGCCAATCCTTGCAACTCCGCCTCGTATACTTGAGGCATTTCAAAACATTTTGCGGCAGTTGATTTGTCAGACAATAAACTCATTTAACAAAGCCATTCGATGACTAAATAGAAAATTTTTGTAGGGCACATAGTCGTCATTGAAGCGCGTGAATATTGACATGGTTCAGACGACGCGCTTTTCTTTCAGCTGCCCCCTTTATCGGAGGTCGTTCTCCAAGAAACTCGAGTGTGTGTGTGTGTGTGTGTGTGTGTGTGTGTGTGTGTGTGTGTGTGTGTGTGTGTGTGTGTGTGTGTGTGTGTGTGTGTGTGTGTGTGTGTGTATTATGGTGCCGACGCTACTGTGATACTCACAGCATGTTTTCCGGATCGAAGGGTCGAAACACGGACGGAATGCATGCCAGCGCGCACACGATCAACGTGAGCACGTAGTAGGTGGCCAGGCGGAAGTAGTAGCGGAAAGTCTGGCTTCGCCTGACCAGCACCGCGATGGTGATGATGCTGAAGCCGAGCGCCACGCACCACGGACAGGACACCTTCGCCGGCCTCATCGCGGCGGCGGCGGTGGCGCCCGCCGTCATCCGCGACGACGTCCGGTCGAAGGCCGTGGACGCCCAGGAGGAGCCCCTCAGCCGCTTGTTGTGGGTGGTGATGATGATAATGATGATGATACTCACACATGACACTTGCCTTCACTGTCAATTATCGTGTCGTTGCATGCACGAAACGTGCCGATAACTACATGAATCAAGCAAGAAGAGATAAAAAAGGGAGGCAGGACTGGATATTAAAATTGAATTCTTTACGTGCCCAATCCACGATATGACTATATTAGGCACGCGGTAGTGGGGATATACGGACTATTCTGACCACTCGTGGTTCTTTCACGCACATCTATAGTTTCAAAACGTGGCCTCGAATGTAATGAAACTGCACCCGCATGCTTAGCAGTGCGAAACCACTAAGCCAAAACGGTGGGTTACAACATAAATACTGTGAAATCAGTTAGATCAGACGAATACGCGTGTATTCCTTCAGATGACGAAAATTTTCGTTTTTAAATTCATGATGACAATACTTTGGGGGTAATATGAAGTGGTAGCAAGTAATTGAGGAATTAACGCGGCAAGCGTTTTGTGATTACGAAGAGCATCGAACGCATGGCTGTGGCTAAATTCAATAAAGAACTGTGCCCACAAGACTGGTCACAACATTGCATTTCTCCACTCTCCTTGTTGAAGCCGTTGACGAGATGGCTACGCATAAAGCCCTATTATTTCCACAGTAACAACGATAACCGTGTAGCGGCATGGTCAATTGCGGCATGTTCGTGGCAAAGGCCAAGAATAGGGTGGCAGTATGCGTAAGAGAAGCGAGTGCTGGTAGAAAAAGGAGAAGTTATTATGCAAAATAATAACATTGTATCATCCATACAGCAGTCCCATTCTGGAAAACAATTATTTTGCTTTTGGAGCGGGTTACTTGGGGTGCATATATAAACAATCAAGAGACAGGCCGCAGGGATCAGTTCTTTGTCCACTTTTACTAGATGTTTTGTTATCTTCTGTAGCAGTTTACCCCCATGCTTAGCTTTATTTTTATGCCAAAAACATTGCTCTTTTTCAATCATCTCGCGGCATCTGTAGTTTGCACGAGAATGTGTAATCTTATTTGTGTACGTGAGCTCGGAGGTCTGATCTGACGGACTATCTTTCACCCTTCACGTCCGAAAGTCCTCTTGCATTTTCTGACAATGCACCAACTCACCCAGCAACGAATTTTCACGTATTCCTATTACAAGTACAGTTTTTGATTCTTTTCACTACTTCAAAGAACTGATTCCGCACCAACGTCATGTAGTTCAACTTCCTGCACAGTCCATCCTATGAACAAATTAAAAGAGAAAGAACTGTAGAGAGTCCACCGGCATCTTCTCCTCTCAGCTAAGTGGTCGCAGTTAACTATCTATCTGCCTGATTTCACCCCTATATTTATCGCTGAATTTCTGGCAAGCAGATTGGCTTTTAGGAAATCGAGCCCCTAAGAGAAGTATTGAGCCCTCTGTGACCTCGACACCAGCGGCAGTGTCCTCCAGTTGAACTTATAATATGTGGAATTTGGCGCCCCAAAACGAAGATATTGTTATGAGGGCCTTCGTTGTGCAGGGCTGGGGAAAATTTGACCATCTGTTCTTTCTAACTTCATTAACTTTTTTTAAGTAATGGCGTACTATATTGGCAACTGGGGTACTACATTGTAATAGACAATCCGTTGAGTGGTGCTTTCGTCTCAGAACAAGATCATTTAAATAAATTATTTGCATTACACACACACACACACACACACACACATATATATATATATATATATATATATATATATATATATATATATATATATATATATATATATATATATATATATATATATATATATATATATGTGTGTGTGTGTGTGTGTGTGTGTGAATAACTTATTCACAAACCCTGACGAAGTCGGAGGTACACCGGTCGAAACCATTGGAAATAAAACTAAGACAACCGCTAAGTTGTGTTTCTTCTCGATAGATAGATAGATAGATATGCGAGGTTTAACGTCCCAAAACCACCATATGATTATGAGAGACGCCATAGCAGAGGGCTCCGAAATTTCGACCACCTAGAGTTCTTTAACGTGCACCCAAATCTGAGCACATGGGCCTACAACATTTCCGCCACCATCGGAAATGTAGCCGCCACAGCTGGGATATATATATATATATATATATATATATATATATATATATATATATATATATATATATATATATATATATATATATATATATATATATATACGTGTGTGTGTGTGTGTGTATATATATAACAATGAGACAAGGGTCCCGTACTGCCAGACTTGGTGCCGTTAGGTTGTATACTAGGGACTGGTCAGCTGCAAGCTCGTAATATGTTCACGTGCTACGTGACGCCATACAGGCTAATAAAGAGTGTGCCACACTCGCCTCCATGGCTACAGGTGGCGCTGACTGTCACTCCCACGTTTAAATTCACATATAAACTCAATAAAGCGGCTAGGGGGGTGGCCGCCGTGGTAGCTCAGTGGTAGAGCATCGAACGCGTTATTCGAAGGTCGCAGGTTCGGTTCCTGCTCACGGCAAGTTATTTTTTCATGGACTTTTTTGTTTTCTCATTTACTTTACATTGGTTCTAATAACTTGCCCTATACATTCTTTGGCATTATTGTCTGTTAGATCTCATTAAGATTGTGTCAAAACACGGAAAAACGAGCCCTTAGAAATACACTTCTTTCCCTTATATATATATATATATATATATATATATATATATATATATATATATATATATATATATATATATATATTGTCACGTTCCAAGTAGATGCCTGAGGATGACGACGACGAAGTGCTGAGGAGAACGTGCTCGGACTGTAGCAGCGTTGTACGCATTTTCTCGCCAGTACATTCATCGTGTATACTATATTCCCCGTAACATCATTGGTGGAAGGTGAGGGGTACAACTCGCTATACAGCCCCACGAGCTGGATCTTCGCAGTGGACGGCGCATTGCAGCTACCACGATGACTGACCAGGCTACTCAATGTTAACAAGATCCGTCAGCCCCGCAACCAATCGTTGTGGTGAAACCTCGTGACCGAGGCCCATTCAACGGCACAAGTGGCATAGACGTTGATGACTGGCTGGTTCTATATGAGCACGTCAGCAACAGCAACCATTGGAATACGACGCTTATGTTGGCGAACATCATCTTCTACTTGCATGGCACGGCAAAACTCTGGTACAAGACACATCAAGAAGAGTTGACTAGCTGGGACGTCTGTAAGTAGAAATTGCGCTATCTATTTGGGAAACCCATCGTACGTCAAGTGGCCGCAAAGAAAGAGCTTGCGACTCGTGCCCAGACATCCACAGAGCCGTACATCGCGTACATCCAGGACGTGTTGGCTTTGTGCCGCAAGGTCGACAAGGAGATGCTCGACGAGGACAAAGTCGGACACATCCTGAAAGGAATTGCCGATGACGCCTTCAATTTTCTGCTGTGCAAGGACTGCTTGACGGTGGAGTTGGTCATCGAAGCGTCGTCGCTTCTAACAGGCGAAAAGTAGGCGCATAGTTCACCGATTTGACCGCCTTCCCAACACGGCGGCTACGTCCTCTTGCGAAGATTTGCCCACACTACATCAACCACCAGCGCAGGAAAACGTCAACAGAATAGTCCATCCGGAAGTCGAGGCTATGGCACCCGCTATGTCTAGCATCAGCGCGCCAGGACACAACCTCGATGCTGTTTCAATGATATAGGCCGTGGTTCGCCAAGAGATCACGAATATGAACATTTCGTCACCTCATCAAAATGCCCCTGCTACTTCCAGCTCGGCTCCAGTCAGTGCGGCTGCCACTCCGAACCGCACATTCGCGCCACGACAAAACCCAGCTGAATGGCGCACTCATGATGATCGGCCCATATGTTTCACGTGCCATCGGATAGGACACATCGCTCGCCATTGCAGCAGCCGTTGGACCTCATCACCTCGACCGAGCTTCTATGATTGGGGACCTCACTCCAAACGTGCACCTTATGCCCCGTCCTACTGTGCTGAGACAGGTGCAGAGCATAATCCAGAACGTCGGACCAGCCGCTCGCCATCGCCCGCGCGCCGTCAGTCCCGCTCGCCCCAACCCCGCCGTTCTCAGTCTCCCTACGACCGTCGCTGGGAAAACTAGCCGGTGCAGCCCTCGGAGGTGACGCTGCATACACGACTCGGACTGCAAATCCCCTGATTACTCCCGACCAGCGATGCAACCTTCTTACAATTCTCGTTGATGATTTACCTGTAACTGCTCTTATTGATATCGGTGCACAAATATCTGTGATGAGCTCAGACCTCCGCCGCGGTCCCCCAAAAGTTCTGACGCCTGCGATTGCACCTACCGTTCGTACAGCGGATGGGAGTACTCCTGCTGTGCTTGGAATGTGCACTGCACGATTAACGATTTCTGAGCACCAAACTTCAGTTCTGTTTGCTGTACTGAAAAATTGCCCTCGTGACCTCATCCTTGGACTCGACTTTCTGACTTCACACGCTGCGCTCATTGACTGCTCCGAAGGTCTTCTTCGGCTCAAACTACCAACCTTCTCAGAGACCGTCTGTACCAGCCCACCTCGTCTACGCTCTGTCGATTTCCTCAGATTTCCGCCACAAGCTGCAGTCCAAGTCCAACTCTCGCCATATCCTCCAGTACTCGATGGTTATTATGTTGCTGCCCCGATTTCTGACATGGCCATGACACGCAATGTTGCACTCCCCAACACGGTTATTGGTTACCGTTAAGGACAACTGAACTTCATTTCCCGTCCTCAATTTTGGCTTCTCAGCGCAAGTTATTCCTCGCGGCATATCACTTGCGCATCTGACACCACTGCTCGACCATACAGTTCCCGCTCTAACCACCGATTCGCCACCCAATTTTTCATCAACGTCGCTTTCGTCACGTTCCTGTTCCGACCTTTTC